AGGTAGAATTGACCTCATCCCTGGGTAGGAAGGAATGAGGAAGGGTGGGAGGGTCAAGGGAACAGAGAGGCCCTGAATGCCAAGCCAAGCAGTGGCGCACTGGTAAAGTCACACGTGGAACCCTTCCAATGGAAGGCCAGGCTGAAACTAGCCAGCAAAAGGACTTTCTTTGGACTGAATAATGTTTTCAAAAAATGAGTTGCCCAAAATGAGATGCTACTTTACATCTAGGGAAGTTAACTTTTTTTTTTTTTAATTTTAAATTAAAAATAACAAATTTTGGGGCCTCTCTGGTGGTGCAAGGGGTTAAGCGTCAGCAATATGAAGCTATCTGCAGCTACTGCAGCATGAGTTCAATCTCCAGCCAGGGAGGTGACCCACATGGAGCAGCAGACCTCTCCTGTCTCGCCCACTGCTCCCCTCAGCAGTGTATTTCAGTCAATCTACCTGTTCTGTTCCCCACTCTGTCTCTGGGGAATCCTCTCACCCCCTTACACCTCTGGCCTACACCTCAGCTCTTATATGCATAAATAAATAAATCTTTTTTTAAAATGACAAATATTAGTAAGATATGGAGAAACTGGAACCCTCATTGCTGGTAGGAATAAGAAATAGTGCAGCTGCTGTGGGAAAGTTTGGCATTTCTTCAAAAGATTAAACAGAGTTACCATATGACCCAGCAATTCTACCTCTAGGGATATGCCCCCAAAATTGAAAGCAAGTGTTCAACCAAAACAGGTTTACAAAGTTCATACAGCACTATTCACAATAGCCAAAAGATGGAAACCCAAATTCCACTAACTGATGAATGGACAAATAAAATTCCATATTCATGTGGTGGAATATTATTCAGCCTTTAAAAGGAATGAAAACCTGATACATGGAAAATCTAGGAAAGATTAGGTGAAATGCATGAAGCTCATCAACAAAGCCCACATACTACATGGCTCCATTTACATGAAATTTCTAGAACAGGCAAATCTATAGAGGCAGTGGCTGTTCATTGATTATGGGAGGATAGAAGATGATACCTTTGGAGTACAAAATTTCTTTTTGATATCATGAAAATGTTCTCTAAGTTGATCACAGCAATGGTGGCACATGATTCTGAATATACTAATGTCCATTAAGCTGTACCCTTTCAAGAATGAATTGTATGATGTGGAGATTACATGTCAATAAAGCTACTTTAAAAAAAAAAATGTGATTTTTTTTTTAATCTTTCCATTTCATATAAAAATTCTGTTTTCTGGCTTCTTAAAAACTCAGACCATCTGGCAATCCAGGCCCAGGTGCCTGGCACTGAAGGACAGCTGCAATTTTTTTTTTTTTGGTGGGACCCTCGCCGGCAGCCGGGAAACGAACCAGCACTGCAGAGGCTGCGGGCAGCCTCGCAGCCCAGCGCTCAACCGCTGCGCCACCAGGGGAGGCCCAAGGATACCTGCTTTGTAGCAAGGCCTGAGATATAGCTTACCTGCCCACTCACCTGGGCCACCACCCCGCCTCAGGTGGGCACTTGTGACCCGAGTGGAACATACCCAAAGGACTTTCACATTTCTTAGATGGTCAAAAACTTAGGACCTGGCATGGTGGGGAGAAGATGAGGTTGGGGATAATCCACGCAGTCCCTTGAAATCACATGCAAAATGTTCTGTGTGTTTGGAAGACACTTCCATCGGATGCTCAAAGGCATCCTTGGCTCAAAACAAGTTAAGAAATTCTCCCACTCAAATTACCTCATGAGGTATTTATTGCTTCCTCATCTCCCACTTTATGGATAAGAAAAATGAGGATCCAATGGGAGAACTTAAAACCCCACACATAAGAGGCACCCCAACTTATCATGTAGTGTCCCTCCGTTGGCAGCCCTGTATCCACCAACAGAGGCGAGAGTGGGCCTGCACTCCCTCCCCACCCCTGGCCAGGCCACAATACTGCTGTGGGCTGATCACTTGCTCCCCTCGCTGCCAGGCAGACCATGCTTTCCATCACTGTCAGGGGCAACACTCAGGGTCACAGACAGAGCAGGTCAGGGTGTTCCTGGGGGTGGTGGCCCAGGGTCCCCCGGGGCAAGGGAGGCCAGGGGAGGCCAGGGTGAGCACAGAGGATGTTGCGTGCCTTCTGCTTCTTTATTGGAGTTCTCTATCATGCTCCCAGAACTGGAGCAAAGCAGGCAAGGGGAGGGATGGGGTGAAAAGCTTATACCCCAGGTTGGCTGGGCTACTGCATCTTAAAGCACCCCTCTCCTCCTGGTAAAATGCCCTCAACCCACCCTGCATTCCTTTGGTCTGAGGAGCCAAGCCTCTCAGTGACCACCATGTGTTACCATTCCCCTCAATGCCACACCTTCCTGTCTGTGCTCTGCTATCCACTGCCAATGCCAGGCAGTGAGGCGGTTATACCACAAGCTCACACAACAGAGGGATGTGGGTTCAAGTTCCTGTTCTACGGCTCACAAGCTGGGGCGGTGGACACACTACTCACCACTCCAAGCCTCCTTCCCTCACCCACCCAATGAGGATGGTAGTTCTCAGTAGCAGTGCCAAGAGGAGGCTTTGCTCCCCCATAATCTTCTTTGGCACCGTCCTCCACCAGATGGCTGCCCCTAAACCAGTCCACGGAGATAGACTTGCTGCTGGAAACAGCACCCACCTCGCGGGGCTGTCATGGCGGTTCCATGAGATACTGTAGTAAAGTGTCTGCTCCGTGCCTGGCACCCACCGATCAAGCACTCCAGAAATGTGCCATCATCCACGTCAGGGCTGCCTCCCAAACTGCCTTCACCCTGCCACCCAGGACTCACGCCATCTCCCAGGCCCCACACTCAGGGAATACAAGCTGACTTTAATAGCCCAAGCCCAGCAAAATTGGGAAGGAAAATTTATCACAGGCATGCACTATAAAAAAGCACCAGAAACGGGCCAAAGAAAACAAAACAATCCATTCCCTGGTTATGGATAATCCCATGCCTGGATGCTTTGCCCTCCCTTTGCCCATCTCCCAGCAGACAATCCAAAGCTGACTGGCACCCCAAGGGCCGGAGGGGCCTCCTAGAGTCAAGCACCCCTTCCTGCACTGTGTGTGGAGCATGCTCAGCTCCTGGCTGGGAAGTGGCAAAACCCAAAACCTCCACCACTCTGGAGAGCCCCAGAGAGGCCCTAAGGATGGCCACCCCACTATGGACCCCAAGAGCAGCAGACCTGCAGGGCTCCCACACAGCCCCATGGCATCACCCTCGCCTCCTACAGTGTAGGAGACACCTCACCATTTTAGGGATGCAGCGGGGGCGCTTGACCCCCTGCACAGGGCTCTCCGTCCCCCACGACCATCACCAGTGCCCTCCTTGTACCCTCTGCTGTCTCCGCCTGTCCTCACTGCCTCTGGCATCACTGGGGAAGCAGCTAGGAGTGAGGAACTTGTGTGGACAACACCAGGTTGAAAGGCTGGCAACAAACCTGAGCACATGCACCCCCATATCTGTCAGTATGCCTCGATGAGAACAGAGCTTTAGAGTCTCACTATGGAGGGCACATCTCCCCTGCACAGACAGCAACAGGAACTATGAATCCCATCCCCCACTCTACCCAGTGCAGACTCCAAGGCTTGTCCTAACCCCAACTGTCTTCCCAAGAAGTTGAGTGTGCCCCCACTCTGGCTTCCAACAAGTCCCCTCCCCATGGAGGGAAACCTTATCACCAAGAGTCAGGCATCTGCAGTCACAACAGCACGCAAACCTGGACAAACCTTTGAACTCTCCCAGCAGCATCCAGATCCTGCTGGAAAGAGCACTGGCCCAGGAGTCCAGGGACGTGGGTTCGAGGGCTGGCTCTCTGGCCCCCTTCTGTCCAACCTATACCAGGATTTCCCAGATATAGTCATTGGTGAACCATCTTCATGATTTTCGCTAAATCTAAGCTTTATATACTATCACTTAAATGACTTTAGCATCATCTTAAGTCATAAATGTCCATAAAATCACAAATTAGATGTGTAACTGCTCAGGTGTTAAATGTTCGTGGTGACCTAACATCACATTTTTTTTTAAATTCTGACCCGAGCAAACCTTTCTCCTTGCCTCAGTTTCCACATCTAAAAGAGGAAGAGAAGTTGGACTAAATGACCCCCTCACAGGTCTCCACAGGCCCACAAGTCTGTGAGACTAGACTGACTTCTCCCAAGAATCCAGAGCCAGCTGATCAGCATCCTGGGACAGGAGACAAGAAAAGGAGAACTTGGCACCTGCTAGGGTCCCACTGCACAAGAAGTGCTGGCTGGATGCAGAGCAAACAGGAGGGCCATGTCCTTCACTCAAGAACTGCCAGGACTTGAAACCAGTTCCACCCCCAAGTGCCATGGAAAGAGTACTCTAACTTCCAAACTATAGAACTCTAGAGTTAGAAAAAACTCATTCATCCACCTCATTTTGCAGCTGGAGAATCTGAGGCACAGAGAAGGCACTATGTAAGAACAGAGATGAACTGAGAATCCAGAACCCCCAACTCCAAGTGACGCCCAAGGCCCCACCTACCCCCACACATCTGTTATTCTCCTATTACCCCCTGGAGGTGTGAGCTCGGTCCCTCCAGCTTGAAAGTACAAAGCAGCCCCTTTCCAGAAGGGAAATACAGGAATTCTGATTTCGATTGGACTTTAAATATCCTATTAACGTGCTTTTATGCAATTAGACTGGAATGAATGTGCAGTGACGCCCAAGGCAGAAGCTTCAAAGCCTGTCCGAGGGGGTATGGTGGCCGATCTGAATGTGCCCACAAGAAGGAAACGTGGCCTCGGGAGAATAAGAGCATATTAGTCTCTGAATGTAATAGATTTTATTGGCCATATGGAACTGATATAAAAATCGTGTTGCACAGGGTAGTCTGGACTGGAGACAGGAATGTGACACAAAGAATATAATTTCCATAACCAGTTGGGTGGCTTTCTAAGCTCCTGGGCAGCCCCCAGGAGCCCTACAACTCTCCCACCAGCCCCTAAGCATTTACCTGATGCTGTCACGGAGGAATCCCAGGCCAGCGAGAAGTCCGAGGCCTCCCCCTCTTCAACTGAAAGAGAAGACAGAGATGAGCCTGTGAGTTTGGAAGCTATAAAAACAGGTCACAGAGTGGGGCACAAGGCAAGGAAGAAGGAATATTTGCAAGGGCCCTTGGTCAGGGTGTGGGAGTTACGCCTACAAAAAGGCCTTTGTTGGTTTCACAGAGATGTAAAATAATCAGAATACAACATGAATAGCAAATAAGTGCTGTATCAGTTATGGTTACCCCCATTCTTGTGCCCCTGGCAGACATCGCTAATCGATCACAGCAATGCCTTGAACCAGATGCAGTATCAGGATCATTCTCTACACAGCTCTATAGACCATTGTTATCTATAATCAGTTTTCAAAGATGGAGTCTGTGTGTGCACATTTTTGCCTTAAACAAAGTTCCATTTTACAAAATCCATAACCCAGAACCTCTCACAAAGCGCAGTGATGTGTCCGAGGTCTGACAGTGCAAAGAGTCTCCATGCCGAATTTGGGCTGACACTCCAAAGATGGAGTCATTTATCACTGGGGGAACAGAGTAAAGTCTCAGATGGCTCCCTGATCCTGCAGACACCATTCTCCTACCAAGTGCTCAGTTGATCACCACTGAAATCTGAAGGCTCACTCCACTGTTCCATGAAACCCACAAGATCATCCCCACACTGAGACATACAAACATCAGGACATGCCAAGTTCAACTCTCCAGTGGTCAGCAGTCACAGGCTAGAGAGAGCAGAAAGAAAATGGCCTCTTACTCCATCCCAGAGCCCACAGAATAAAGCTGGGCAGGGCTGGGGTGACCCCACCATCCGATACCTGACTCTGTGAGACTCGGCTGGTGGAGATGGAAGCCAGGCACTAGGCGAACTCGAGAGAAACTCTATACAGTACAATAAAGCACTTGTCCTGGAATTAATCCCAGTCTGGGACATGTAATAATATTAAAGCTGGGTTATGGACTTTGTAAAATGGAACTTTGTTTAAGCCAAAAATGTGCACACACAGTATTTTTCACATTTAACGGCCTCTGAAGTTCCACACATATGCAGGCCGAAGCCACCACGTACCACCCAGTTCTCTGCAGCGTCTGTGTCCACAGGGGCACACTGGGCCGGGTTGTGCCAAGTGCCTCCCAGGCACCACTGCGTTTCACCCTCGTCAACAGACTCTCACGAGGTGCAGCGATGTGCCCAAGGTCTAACAGTACAACGAGTCCATGCCGAATTTGGGCTGACACCCAGGACTGCCTGTCTCGAAGGCTGCACCCGAAACCACGGTACACTGAGGCACAGAACCCAAGCAACTAGGGCCTGGACACAGCAACCCCAACTGGCAGAAGGTGCACGGTTGAGCAGCTGAGCCGCCAAGCGGTGAGAGGGGCAAGCAGCTGGCGTATGGTCAAAACCCTAGTTCAAATCCTGACTCTACCTCTCATCAGCCGAATAATCCTGGGCAAATTATTTAACACGTGGGTTTCAGTTCTTCCATCTCCATCATGGAGATAATAATGGTATCTAAGTCATGGGGTGTTTAGGAGGATTCAGTGGGGTGACAGCTGCCATCTGCTGGAACAGTGGCCCACACACTCGGATGGATTTGGTGCCATGGCTGGACCAGCACTCAGAACGAACAAGTCCTGGTCTATATGGCAATGCCCCATTTGTCAGAGACCCCTAGTCTTACCACCCCACCAGAACCTCACAGAATGTCTTTCCTTTTAACTTTCAGAAACAGTGCACCTAAGAGGGACAGCCACGTCAGTGAGCCACCAGCCAAGGAATGCTAACGAAGCCCTCGCTCTTTTCCAAGTCTGCATCTTGAGAGTAGAAACTAGGAATCAAGACAATGAAATGCAGAGGCAATCTGGGCTGGGACCAAAACCATTGTTTTACTTAGCTAGTTACAGCTGGGGTGGGTTTTCAAATATGCAGCTTAGTAAATATGAATCAAGACCTCGCGTCAGACAAAATTGATATTACTCGCTAAGCTGATTCCATCCAGACAACCTCTGAAACACAGGCGGGATAATGCTTAAAGCGATCAGAAGCAAGCCATGCATGAAAGGAGCAGTTGTTAACAGCTTTCATTGCCACACCTGAAAACCAGCCCTTCACATTTCGTTACTCATATAGGTGTGTGTGCACATATATAATTGCTTGCTATTATTATATTAAGCACTACGCACACACTGCTTCTGTTCAGGGGCTGCTGCCGCTCTGCTGGACACCTTCAACAAGGTCCCTGTGGGTCCCTAAGCCTCGCCAACCACGTGCATCAGGACTGTAAGACAGGCCGAGCTCTCCCTTCGTCGTTAGTGGACTCCAGGTATCCGGACAAGCACTTGGGGCCACTCAAGGCTCTTTGTAGCTTAGAAGGGTGACCTCCCAAGTCATTGAACTAGAGCTTAACCCCCCCCCCCAAAGCCAAATCCTTCCCTTTCTAAGATCTGGCTTGAGCCATCATGGAAGGAGAATATGCAAACACCTGCCACTTTGGAGCTCCTGGGAGGAGTCAAGGCTTGGTTTCTGGGTGGGACAGGCATTCTGAGGTGGGAAGAGGAGGAGGGTGGCCCGACACCGGCTGGATGGAGAAATTCAAAGTTTTCAACAAAAAAGATCTAGAAATCCCCCCCCCAAAAAAAAAAGTTTAAGAACTATTAGACTAATGGCTTTTATTTGGGGAGTTTCTCAGCTGGCCCCACCTCTGGCTGGTCTTTCCAAGGTCTTAAGGGACCTCTCTGTGGTTTGCTGTCTTTGGCCCCATGGACCATCCTGCCCTTCAGGAGTGTCAGACCCACTCCCTGGAGGTATCCCGCACCAACAAAGGTGGAGACTCAGGCAAGGGGCTCACCTCAGCTCATCCTTAGGAAAACCCTCTTACTCAGCCCAGGCGAGAACAAGGAAGATAAAGGATACACCAAGCGCCCAGACTCTCATTATCAAGTCAGAAACAGAGCGCACTGCTCCTGACTCAGTACCAAGCAAACTCAGGAAGCAAAAACGTAAAGCCGGGAGGACCACAGTGTACAGGTGTGCAGGTTGTGCACCAAACAAAGGGTCCGGCAGAGGAGGGAGGAGAGAGGACATGATATTTAGCCCACAATCTGTCCAACGAGAAGAGTGTCCAGATGCAGGGCTATGAATTCCCAGAAAAGGTACCTATTCCTTTGCACCATTTTTCTAGTTTTACAAATGTACTCTGAAACAGAGCCCATGACCATCTCTGGCATCAGGCTTCAAGGCAGGGTGAAACGCAAACAAACCCAACCACCAGGTTCCTCTCAGGTGGGAAGGGTTCTGGACAGAGGGTGGGGATGGGGAGTGACGGCATGGAAAAGTGAAGGTTTACTGCAGCAAGAGATAATGCTCCCCAAGAGCCCCAACGCCGACCCCCTCAGCGCCAAGATCAGACCCTCGGAGGGGCGACGATCCTGGGACAGGTTCCCACCACAAAAATCACTGATTGAGCTCACAATTCCCTCGCCACTTGTCAAAAAGAGAACAAACTAACAAGGCACAGGTAAGACCACCTGCCTGATTCCTCAAGAGCAAGCGGGCAACGCCCTGGGGCTAGGGCCCCATGCTCCCCCTCTTCAGTCTCCAGCCACAGCCCCCCTCACTGGAGCACCTCACCATGAGGAGGTTGGTCTAGTGCTTCAAGAAATCTATTTTGCAGACAAAATGGCTCCTACGCAGATGCCTCTCCCACCCCAAGTAGTGCTCTCAGCAAGAGCCAGTGGGTGGGTCTCCAAGCCAGCCCCTCCGTAAGGGATCTTCACAACTGTAACTTTCTCCTTAAACGCTGACTCTAAAACCAACACCTATGAAAATATGCAATGTAACCAAATTTTTTTCATAAACGGTTCCCCAGTCAATCCCAGGCAGAGGAACTGGAAGCCTAGACCTCGCTTCCATTCTCTCCTTGCCATGCTTATCTATGAAGTAGGGAGAATAGAATGGCATCCAGTAAGTAGTCCCAGAACTCCAAGAAAGAAGTTGGAGGCAAAGTAACCCTACAGGTAAAGTGACCCTTCCAGAAGTCACCCAACAGCACTCAATTAGCCAGACAACTAAGATCAATGAAGGTGTTGGAGAAGCTATAAAATAGAAAGGCTCCAGGAGTGGGCCCTAAAATAGGACTCCCTAGGACCAACCCGTAGCTCTGCCACTGACAGATCATTAGATCTCGGATAAGATGCTTGATCCACTCCTCTGTCAACAGGATCCCAGTAGCCGACCTCACAGGAGGGTAGAGAGGACTACCTGAATGATAGTCCCAAGGCACTGAGCTCAATGTAAACCCTCGTCAATATCAGCGCACAGGACCAGATAATTCAAGTTGCCCTTTCTCCCCAGAGGTCCCTGATTGGCTGCTGTGGTTGCACTCTGCCTGGAAGAGGGGAGGGTTGAGATTTGAACAGTGAGATCAAACTTCCTTCCCATGAGATTCACTCCTTTGCCTCCCACCTTCATGAAGGGCCCAGCCAGAGCCCTCCCCAGTGATGGATCCTTTGCCATCACTGCTTTCCCATCCCCATGGTGCAGGGATGGGGTCCTAACCTGAGGAACCTTCCAGATGTCACAGCCAAACTCAGCTTCTGTACCAACTCATCTCCCTCTCCCTTCCTGATTTCCACCCATTATCATCTCACACCCCAAAAGAAAAACAATTTCTGGGAGATATCTGTAGAAGGAGTGTTAGTTACAATCCAGAGTGTTAGTTACAATCCCAGCAGAATTTATATTTTGGGCAACTCTGCATAAATTTGATTTCTCTCCTCTGCTCTTTCCTAACAAAATAATGATGGTGATGGTGATGAAAATAAAATAATAAATGTGATTCTATAAGTACTAGAAAAAGGCCTTTCCACTAGACCAGGAGTAGAACATAAGTGGCAAACCTGCCCCAGTTCCCCTCTCGTGCACCCACAGTAGACAATGCTAATCGATCAGGGCACTCTTTCTCATCGAGCAGGGATACAGCTTCAAATGGTTCAACAAAGTGAGTTAAAATCTAATA